GATTGCTGGATCATAAAGTGTTCTATTCTTAGGTTTTTGAGAAACTTCATACTGTTTTCTATAATGGCTGTACTAATTTACACTCCAGCCAACAGTGTACAAGGGTTCCCTTGCAAACAATTATCTTTCATCATTTTGATAACAGCCATTCAAATAGGTATGAAGTGATGGTATTTTTAAAAAAATTTTTCATAGCCGGGCACGGTGGCTCAAGCCTGTAATCCCAGCACTGTGGGAGGCCAAGGCGGGTGGATCACGAGGTCAAGAGATCGAGACCATCTGGTCAACATGGTGAAACCCCGTCTCTACTAAAAATACAAAAAATTAGCTGGGCATGGTGGTGCGTGCCTGTAATCCCAGCTACTCAGGAGGCTGAGGCAGGAGAATTGCCTGAACCCAGGAGGCGGAGGTTGCGGTGAGCCGAGATCGTGCCATTGCACTCCAGCCTGGGTAACAAGAACGAAACTCTGTCTCAAAAAAAAAAAAAAAAAATTTTTCATAGAGACAGGGTCTCATTATGGTGCCCAGGCTGGTCTTAGGCTCAAACAATCCTCCCACCTAGGCATGAGCCACTGCATCTGGCCAGAGGTGATATCTCATTGTGGTTGTAATTTTCGTTTCCCTAAATATTAAGGATGTTGAGTATTTTTTCATGAATCTGTTGGTCATCTTTATGTCTTCTACTGAGAAATATCTATTCAGGTATTTTGCTCATTTTAAAAATTGGGTTTTCTTGTTATTGAGGTGTTTGAGTTCCTTATACATTTTGGATATTAGCCCCTTATTAGATGTATGATTTGCAAATATTTTCTTCCACTCTAAGCGTTGCCTCTTTATTGTTTCCTTTGCTGCGCAGAAGCTTTTAGTTTGATGCAATCCCATTTGTCTATTTTTGTTTTTGTTGCTTGTGCACATCTAAAAAATTATGGTCCAGACCAATCTCATGGAGATTTTTCCATTATATTTTCTTTTAGTAGTTTTACAGTTTCAGGTTATACTATACCACTTTTATTATATTACAATTATATCTAAAAATTTTGCCGTAATGGAATAAAACGAATTTAAAGTCAACCTGCCATGCATTTCCTAGCTCAGTTCACAGTGAAGAGAATGAGAAAAGGAATGGTAGAATAAGCAGGAAAGATGCCAAAATGCTAATACTAGTTTTAGCCCTACATGCTGAGATTGAGAGCTAGTTTTGTATTGTTGTTCTTACTAATTCTATTTTCTAAATGCTTCCATTGCAATCATGTATCACTTCTGTAATAATAAAAAAATTAAAATATGACTTTTTAAGCTAGATGATATTACTTAAAATATGATCATCTGAAAAATTCCTAAGCAGAATATCAAATCAAGCCTCATCTACCTCACTCTCAAACATAGTAGAGGCCCCCTAACTGATCTCTTTGCTACCAGTCTCCCTAACACAAACCATTCTACATCTTGTCATCAATTACCTTATCATTCTAGTTCCTGCTCAGAATCCAATCACACATCATAAACTACAACTTTGGATTTATGCAAAGCATTTCTGGGTAATTTGACCCAATTCTACTGTTCCACCGTTATCTACCAATACTATCCTATCAAATCCTCAGTTCTTCTAAGAGAATCCTGGTGGAAAGAACCCAGGCCTTAGAGGAGACTTTGGCCTGGGTTACATAATCTCTTGGCCTCAATGGAGAGTGAGTGTGAAGATTAAATCTTTAAATAAGTAACATACACAGTATACAACAAGCCTTCAATAAAAGGTTGTTATTATCATTATTAGCCAAATGAGTTTTTATTCACTGACTTCTCAAAAAGCTTTGCATTTTTATATCTGTGCTTTCTATATCACTATTTGTTCTTTCTGAGTTCCTCCCCTGTCTTCTAAAATCCTATTAAAATTCACGGTTCATTATTATGCACTACATGCCTGCATCAAAATACCTTATGTAATCCATAAGTATGTATACCTACTATGTAACCACAAAAATTAAAAGTAATTTTTTTTAAAATTCAAAGTCCAGCCGGGCACGGTGGCTCAAGCCTGTAATCCCAGCACTTTGGGAGGCCGAGGCGGGTGGATCACGAGGTCAAGAGATCGAGACCATCCTGGTCAACATGGTGAAACCCCGTCTCTACTAAAAATACAAAACATTAGCTGGGCATGGTGGTGCATGCCTGTAATCCCAGCTACTCAGGAGGCTGAGGCAGGAGAATTGCCTGAACCCAGGAGGCGGAGGTTGCGGTGAGCCGAGATCACGCCATTGCACTCCAGCCTAGGTAACAAGAGCGAAACTCCGTCTCAAAAAAAAAAAAAAAAAAAAAATTCAAAGTCCAGTTCAAGCCCCCTCCTCTCAGAAGGCTTCCCTGACTTTTCAAAGTTAATATGACCCCTCACTCATTTGAACTCCTATTGCATTTAGAGTTTATTATAATCAAATGGTGGTGTCTTAGTTAATTTATTAGTTCTCTTTCCATCAATGTAAGTCCCCAAATAGAGCAAGTAAAGTATAAATTCCTTGCTACCAGATAGATACTCCATTTTATATATACCTTGATGCCTTTCTGATATCTGAATATATCACCAGGAATATAGTAGATGCTCAAAAAATTGTTAATCTGGCCAGGCATGGTGGCTCACCCCTGTAATCCCAGCACTTTGAGAGGCCGAGGTGGGTGGATCATCTGAGGTCAAGAGTTTGAGACCAGCCTGGCCAACATGGTGAAGCCCTGTCTTTAAAAAAAATACAAACATTAGCCAGGTGTGGTGGCAGGCGCCTGTAATCCCAGCTACTTGGGAGGCTTGAACCCGGGAGGTGGAGATTGCAGTGAGCCAAGATCATACCATTGCACTCCATGCTGGGTGACAAGAGCGAAACTCCATCTCAAAAAAAAAAAAAAAAAAAAAAGGGTTAATCTGACTTACACATTTGAAAGAAAGTCATCGCAATAAAAATACTAGCTGAATATTTTTGTAGTAGACTAGGAAGCCAATAATTCTATATAAACATTGAAAGTTTCAAGTAAACAGTGTAATTTAATTCCATAATTAAATACCATTGACCAAACATGTAAGTCATACTTAAGCCATATGAGTTCTCTCTAGAGAACATATACAAATTGGCAATAAATAACCCTAAGTAAATAGCACTTTAAACTTTCCAAAGCGTCCTGCACATAAACCCTAACTAAATATACAGTGAATTAATTAAATTGTCTTATTTGGTCTCATTTGAAAATATACTTGGCCAGGTGTGGTGGCTTACACCTGTAATCCCAGCCTGAGTGACATAGTGAGACTTTGTCTTATTTAAAAAAAAAAAAAAAAATAAATATATATATATATATTTATAATTATTTGTATGGGCTCTAGTCAAGATGGCATAAAAAATATTTTTTAATAAAATATATATTTTTTTGAAGACAGGGTCTCATTCTATCATTCAGAGTGGAGTGCAGTGCTGCGACCATGGCTCAATGCAGCTGCAAACTTATGGGCTCAAGAGATCCTCCCACCTCAGCCTCCAGAGTAACTGAAACTACAGGCACATGCCTCTGACTAATTTTTTTGGTTGTTTTTGTTGTTGCTGTTTTGTAGAGATGGGGTTTCATCATGTTGCCCAGGCTGGACTTGAACTCCTGGGCTCAAGTGATCCACCCCAAAGTGGATCCTTTGCCCTCCCCAAAGTGCTGATACTATAGGCGTGAGCCACCATGCCCAACCGAATAAAAAAATTTTTAAGTGGCCGGGCACAGTGGTTCAAGCCTGTAGTCCCAGCACTTTGGGAGGCCGAGGCGGGCGGATCACGTGGTCAAGAGATTGAGACCATCCTGGCCAACATGGTGAAACCCCATCTCAAAAATAAATAAATAAATAATAAATAACTTAAAAATTTTTTTTTAATTTTTTTAAAAAGAAAATATACTTGCCTGACTAAAATATCAAAATAATTAAAGCAAGAAAGATTCAGATACAGATTATTAAAAAGCGAATTATATAAACTTATAAAAATAATTCTCCACTTTGGGAGGCCGAGGAGGGCAAATTGCTTGAGCCCAGGAATTTGAGACCAGCCTGGGCAACATGGTGGAACTTTGACTCTACAAAACGTGCAAAAGTTAGCTGGATGTGGTGGCACACATGTAGTTCCAGCTGCACCGGAGTCTGAGTGGGGGAAGATCAATAGAGCCCAGGAGGTCGAGGTTGCAGTGAACCATGATCATGCCACTGTACTCCAGCCTGGGTGATAGAGTGAGACCCTATCTCAAAAAATAAGGATAGATAACTTGAGGGTGTAATTTTACTTTTATTGTCACTTATTGATTTAATTACAACTTCTCATAAAGCAATCAGGAAAATTAAATAACCACATAAAGACAAATCTTTCCTCTTTGATAAATTACCAATCAGCAATAGAAAACAACTGTTCTCAGCTGGGCACGGTGGCTCACGCCTGTAATCCCAACACTTTGGGAGGCTGAGGTGGGCGGATCACAAGGTCAGGAGATCGAGACCATCCTGGCCAATACAGTGAAACCCCATCTCTATTAAAAATACAAAAAAATTAGCTGGGCATGGTGGCACATGCCTATAGTCCCAGCTACTCAGGAGACTGAGGCAGGAGAATTGCTTGAACCCAGAAGGTGGAGATTGCAGTAAGCCAAGATTGCGCCACTGCACTACAGCCTGGGTGACAGTGTGAGACTCCGTCTCAAAAAAAAAGAAAAAGAAAAAGAAAAGAAAACAACTGTTCTAATGAGCACTACTAATGTTCAAATGAGAGTAAAGCAACTTAAGAGACAGAGAAAGTTTCTTTATTAAATGCAGTTAATTACCAATAAATTAAGTCTCAATGGGTAGAAAACAAACTAGAGTACCGCTAAACCCCAACAGGATAGATTCAGCATGATAAATGCTGAATCCCTCCTTTTTTTGCTATTAGTGCTAGTGTAGCGAGCCTCCAAAGTTTCAGTTTTCTCACTTATCAGAAGGAAGGAAAAGCCATTACCTGAGGATGTTGGGATGTGAGAGTCTATTCATGAGCTGTACTTCTTTCAGCATGTTTGCCCGGTTACTACTCAACGTGTTCATCTTAAGAGCCATCACCTGACCAGAAGCTCGGTGTCGTACCTAGAATATTAAATAGAACAAGAAAAGAGAGTCAAAGGCAATAGCTACATATGAGGTCAATATCTCCAAATGCATAATATGCCAAGATATTTTCATGCCACTTTAGATGAAAAATACATCTAATTACATTAAAGTATCACTTCCATTAAGATGAATTATTCTACTCAAGACCAATATTATTTCACATTGAGTTGGTCAGAAAAACACTGTTAATAACATCTCATGAAATCATGTCTGATATACACTATGAAATACTATGCAGCCATAAAAAGGAATGAGATCATATCCTTTGCAGGGACGTGAATGAAGCTGGAATCCATCATCCTCAGCAAATTAACAGAGGAACAGAAAAGAAATCATCACATTTTCACTCATAAACAGGAGTTGAACATTGAGAACACATGGACACAGAGAGGGGAACAACATGCGCCAGAGCCTGTTGGGCGGTGAAGGTAGGGAACTTAGGGGATGAGTCAATAGGCGCAGCAAACCACCATGGCACAAAACTGAACGTTCTGCAAATGTATCCCATTTTTGTTTGTTTGTTTTTAGAAGAAATAAAGAAAAAATAAATAAATCATGTCTGGTTTGTTGTTGTTGTTTGAGATAGGGTCTCACTGTGTCGCCCATACTGGAGTGTAACACCCTCTGCCTCCGGGTTCAAGTGATTTTCCTGCCTCGGCCTCCTGAGTAGCTGGGATTACAGGCATGTGCCAACACAACCGGCAGATTTTTGTATTTTGTATTTTTGTAGAGACAGGGTTTCACCATGTTGGCCAGGCTGGTCTCAAACTCTTGACCTCAGGTGGTCCTCCTGCCTCGGCCTCCGAAAGTGCTGGGATTACAGGTGTGAGTCACCATGCCCAGCCAATCATGTCTGTTTTTGATACCTTAAAAAAAAAAATGAGGGAAAATTTTTAGGCTGGGTGGTCATGGCTGACCTTGGTGAGGCTTAAGACACCAAACAGAAAAAAGTCCCTTCTGTGGCATTCTAGGTGTGCAAAAAGAAGATATATACATGAGCCTTATATAATACTTAATGAACTGTCTTTATAAGATACTCAAAGTCTCCCACATACTCTAAGTCTCCCCCAAGTACCATAAAAATAGATCTATAAGAAAAATGCATTTCATGTTGAATATAGAAAGAAGTCTGTGAACCTTTTAGAACTAATATTGTAGTAACTCTACCCAAAGCCCCTCATAATCATTTAAACACACTGAAGTTAAATACAACAAACACGGGGCACAGCACTTACCCATACGCACAGAAGAAAGTCTCCTTTTTTTTTGAGACAGAGTCTTACTCTGTCACCCAGGCTGGAGTGCAGTGGTGCAATCTCAGCTCACTGCAACCTCTGCCTCCCAGGTCAAGTGATTCTCCTGCCTCAGCCTCCTGAGTAGCTGAGATTACAGGCACGCACCACCACAGCTGGCTAATTTTTGTATTTTTAGTAGAGACAGTGTTTCATCATGTTGGTCAGGCTGGTCTTGAACTCCTGATCTTGTGATCCACCCACTTCAGCCTCCCAAAGTGCTGGGATTACAGGCGCGAGCCACCATGCCCAGCCGGAAAGTCTACTTCTAAAAGCATTCGCCCTCTATAGAACTCAATCTATTTTGCATGTGTAAATATTATTTATCATTTCAATGCACACCCCACAGGTTTCATAAACCATAATGCTTTACTTGCAAAAAGATTGTTTTCGCCCTGTAAATGTGGTCTCATTGGCCGCAAAATAAGACCATCAGGCTTGGTTTCATTCAAAGAAGCTAAACTGAGATACGTGTGTTTCCTGCTTAGGAATTATGAATGAGACAGTAGAAAAATCATGAAGTCACAAAGATCTTTCCAGGTAAAAAAAAAATCATTTTATCCTATGGACTTCAGGAGTATTATTTCAGTATGCTATACTTGACCAAATGGAAATTCCAAAAGAAAACATGACAGCTTACTTAAACTCTTCAATAACCAAAAACTCCTTGAGGCGACAATAGCTCCAGAAGTTTATCATAGCTATTAATACAGGTTAGACATCACAGCTTATCTTAGAATTCAAAGAAACAATGTTTCGGAGTGGCCAGACAGAAGAGGGAAGGTTTTTGATGGAGAGGCCAGGTCAAAACACAAAGAGCCACAGGAACCATGATCGGAAAAATTGAGGGAGACAGAACACTGGCTGCCTCTCCTCTTCTAGATCACTGAGTGAGATTTGGAACCCAGCTCTCTTCTCAGTGCATCAATGATTCTGTTGTAATGAACCTTCTGACTGATGAAAGAGAAGTAGCTTTCCATTTCAGATCCTGCATGGGTAAGTTAAAAGAAACATTTATACACAAAGAGCTCACTGACAGTATTTTTCTAACTCTATTTATAGAAGACATCTGTGTTTTAATAAGGGCTCTCCATCTGAAAGTCACTCCTTTTATTTTTCTATCATCTAAAAACTGTCACACTGAGATTTAACAAAATGGTGAAACTCATAAAAAGATCGTCCATCATGACAAAGTAGGATTTATCCCTGGGATGCAAGGATAGTTGAAAATATGTAAATCAATCAATGTGATACGTCATATCAACAGAATGAGAGTCAAAAACCATATGATCATTTCAATTGATGCTGAAAAAGCATTTGATAAAAGTCAACATCTCTTCATGATAAAAACCCTGAAACAACTAGGTATAGAAGGAACATAGCTCAAAAAGCCATATATGACAGACCCAAAGCTAGTATCATACTGAATGGAAAAAAACTGAAAGCCTTTCCTCTGAGATATGGTACACAAAAAGGATGCCCATTTTCACCACTGTTATTCAACATAGTACTGGACATCCTAGCTAGAGCAATCAGACAAGAGAAAGAAATGAAGTGCATCGAAATCGGAAAGGAAAAAGCCAAATTACTCTTGTTTGCAGATGATATGACCTTATATTTGGAAAAAACCTAAAGACTCCACTAAAAAAACTATTAGAACTGATAAATTAAGAAAAATTGCAGCATACAAATCAGGCTACTGATTTTTGTATGTTGATTTGCCAACAGTGAACAATTTGAAAAAGAAATCAAAAAAGTAATCCAATTTTTAATAGTTTCAAATAAAATTAAATACCTAGAAATTAAGGTAACCAATGAAGTAAAAGATCTCTAAAAGGCCAGGCACAGTGCTTCACGCCTATAATCCCAAAACTTTGGGACACCGAGGCAGGAGGATTGCTTGAGTCCAGGAGTTCGAGACCAGCCTGGGCAACAGAGTGAGACACCATCTCTACTAAAAATACAAAAAAAAAAAAAAAAAAAAAAATTAACTGGGCTTGGTGGCTTAAGTCTGTGGTCCCAGCTAGTTGAGAAGCTGAGGTGATAGGATTGCTTGAGCCCAGGAAGTCAAGGCTGCAGCGAGCTGTGGTCATGGCACTGTACACTCCAGCCTAGGCAACAGAGCAAGACTGTCTCAGGCCGGGCGTGGTGGCTCACGCCTGTAATCCAAGCACTTTGGGCAGATCACCTGAGGTCGGGAGTTCAAGACCAGCCTGACCAACATGGTGAAACCCCGTCTTAAAAAAAAGAAAAGACTCTGTCTCAAAAACAAACAAAAAAGATCTCTACAATGAAAATTATAAAACATTGATATAAGAAATTAGAGAAGATACAAAAAAATGGAAAGATATTCCACGTTCATGAATTGGAATTGGAAGAATCAATATTTTTTAAATTCCCATAATAATCAAATAATACTAAACTTTATATGGAATCTCAAAGAGCCAGAATCACCAGACATACTGAGCAAAAGCAAAAAACTGGAGGAATCACATTACTTAACTTCAAATTATACCACAGAGCTATTGTAAACAAAACAACATGGTATTAGCATAAAAACAGAAACATAGACCAATGGAACAGAATAGAGAACCCAGAAAGAAATCCATAAATCTACAGTAAACTCATTTTCAACAAAAGTGCCACGAACATACACTGGGGAAAAGACAGTCTCTTCAATAAATAGTGGTGGGAAAACTGTATAGCTATATGCAGAAGAATGAAACTAGACTCCTATCTCTAGTCATATACAAAAATCTAATCAAAATGAAATAAAGACTTCAATCTAAGACCTCCAACTACGAAACTACTACAGGAAAACATTGGGAAAACTCTCCGATTGGTCTGGGCAAAGATTTCTCGAGTAATACTCCAAAAGCACAGTCAATCAAAGCAAAAATGGACATATGGGATCACATCCAGTTAAAAAAGCTTCTGCACAGCAAATAAAACAATCAACAAAGAATCAACCAACAGAATGGGAGAAAATATTTGCAAACTATCTGTCTGACAAAGGATTAATAACCAGAATATATAAAGCGTTCAAACAACTCTACAGGAAAAAAAAAAATCTAACAATCAGATTTTAAAAATAAGCAAAAGCCAATGGCTTCTGTTAGGAAGGGAAGGGGCTCAACACAGTGATGGACTGATCCAGATGGCTCCTGAGGATGAATGTGAGTGGGTGGCTTCTGCCAACATGAATGCTTGGAGATATGTCCTTTGCTTAAAAAGAAAATATCTTATATTTAGAGTACATAGGGCATGACATGGATTTATTAGTCTAGCAGATAAAATGAAAAGCCACTCAGGTAAGAACACTCACTCATAGCAGTTTTTAAGCATGAAAATCGTTTTCTGAACGTATCATCACTTTTTAAACAAGGCTTCTAATTGGATTTTGGTAGTTCTAACGTCAAGAAAACTTGAATTGTTTGAGGGAAAGTGGGCTCAAAAGAGCATATATCTTTCACATTCACATTCAGAACCCAGCAACCTGGAGTCCAATTTTCAGTATTTTAACTACCTCAATAATGCTATGAATGTAAGATACTGGGATAGAGATCCCAACTTGAAACAACAACCAGTGCCTGTGGTAACTTAATGTCTGTCAAATATTTTTATTGATTGGTTTATATGCCATTCTTGTTATAGAAGAATATGCCTTTTTAAAAAGTTTATTCA